GGAGGACACTCGTATAGTACCTACGTAAATGTCTCTAAAATCTCGTTTATGGTATAGAAGTCAAGCCTCTCCTGAAAAAAATTAGGTGGAATGGTTACTGTTACTGTCTAAAGGCCGTCACACTCCCTCTCGCCTCACCCGGACGGGAGAAGTCGTTGGACGCAGTCGGCCCCTCAAAAAAAAAAAGGTCACATAGGACTCATGATTATGCAGCTAAATGTGCGTGTCACTTAACGCATGCAATGCACCAATGCCTTATTAATCGGAGATCATACGTGTTCTGCGTATATCACATTAAATACACACAGAATAAAATGACATGAAATGACTGAGTGTACAGTTTACTTAAGTACTTAGTCGTGACACCAAAACATATTTTCGATTAAATCAAACGCAAGTAGCATTCGATAATTCAATTATTTTAACCTCTCACACAGATGACATAATTGGAACGTAAGTACATATACCATTTATCGTGTAGGTAGGTTTACCTTTAATATAGGTATATATATTTTTAAATATGCTCGTTTACCGGGCGTAAACGAGCAGACGGATTACCTGATGGTAAGCAATCGTCGCCACTCGAAGCACCAGAGGTGATACAAGTATGTTACCGACCTTTTGGGAATTATTGGGGATTCGGGGATTGGGGATATTGGGGACCCCTCTCCGGAATCCCCAATTAGTCTCCGGTAATTAGGGCCTCCGGTTATTTACTCACATGACAAAACACAACGCAAGTGTTGTTTCACGTCGGCTTTCTGTGAGGCCGTGGTATCACTCCGCACTAGCCGGCAGATTCGTGCCGAAGCATGGCAAATAACACTGTTCCTATAACTTTATCCCATAAGCGAGTAGTTAGGGGGTCTCGGCCTTAGCCAGACAAAAGGTAGGAAGGTTAACTTAGTTTCCGAATGGTTAGGACTTATAAACGATGAAAAATTTATATTTAGATCTTTATTTCCGGATATTAGAGATTGTTGAACATTTAACAGAGGTCAAAATGCCATGTAAAATGTATTGTTCAAAAGAAATTATGAAACAGCCAGGAAGTAGAGGTGAAAGAGGTCAGCCACTCTACCCACATAGGAGTCTTAAGTGTCATTCAACCACACATTAGCATAGCACAATTATTTAATTTAATTCATAACAAAACCGACCCAATCCATTACATAAACTTATGCCGATGATTGTTACATAATACAACATTAGTTCACCATGTACGGCGTACATGCATGGGTCTATGTATTAATTATAACTTAATTGAAGTGAAATCATTCCGATCCATCACTTTAAATTTTATTAAACAAAATTATCACGAGATAGGAAATAGGAGAGATCATATGAACTACCCCTAATTTGATGTTATGTTAATCCCAACAAAAATTACTTCTGAAAACCAGATCGTTCCTAATTTCAACAAACATAGTCCTTTCATAATATACATCCTATTATTGTTTTGAATAACAAAGAGTAGTTTTATTGAGTCAAATTAACAAAAAAGTATATCTCGCTCCTTCATTACAGTTCATTGTCAATGAACTAACGGAGAATATTGCAAAAAAGCTCAAAAAAACAAAACCATACTACATGTTGAAGATGAATACTATACAAACACTCAAGTGCCTATGCGAATTTCACTCTTACCGTCTTTAGTATTAACGCTATATTGCGAATCATTCGATTCGCCTTCTAGTTTATGTTCGTAACACAAATAATTGTATGGCAGCGATTACGTGAGTTTAAGTCACGTTCACTTTTATTTTTCGAGAGGAAATATCAGTTGCAGTGTTACATAAGGCTGGATGTGGCCGCACTCCGTAGCACGTGTGACCTTATCTCTTTATCAGATCATGTTCACTGCACGTTGGTATGTACGAGTACATTCATACATTTTCCGGTCTAAAGTCAAAACAACATTTTTGTACAGGTTCATGAAATTGAATTCGACCACTGGCCTATAAGAAAACAGACCTTTTTACTACAAGTATTTAGCAGTTAGCAGTTATTATTATCTTGTTAGCTTTTTCGGTGAGACCTGAGCTTTTTCCAAATTTTATCTCATTCACTCACTTTTACACTCAAAAGCTTACTGAAAAGACACCTGTGAGCAGAACACTGATATGATTGTTATAATTATAAATCTATGGAGCAGAACCTCGAATGTCGTATACGAGTTCATGCGAGAGCATCATGTATTGTCGAGACTCAATGGCCATAGAAGAAAAAAAAATCATGTATTGTCTATAGGTAGGTCGGTACGTCAATTAAACCTATTTAAAGAAACGTCGTAAAAAGTTAGGTGTACAACTGCTTCAGATTAAAAAAACTACATATTCATTATACCAAAAAAGGTTTTTTGATATCTTTCATTCATGCTTCTAATATGAAGTGTTTAGTCATGAGTAGGTAGGCTGGTGCCTCCTAATAGATACTTATATCTAAAACATTATATTGTGCGCAGAACTGGTCGCATATACGGAGACAGTAGAAAGCTCCGGCCAGTGCACTTGTATGCCTGCATTCAGGAAATAAGGAAACGCTGCTGTGTAGGAGAATAAACTGGTTCCTGCAACTAGGTATATCAGCACGCGTTGTCGTCATACCGACAGCTGAGATACACGATTTGTCGATTACCGTTGCAGTAAATAGGTAGACTAAACGATCGCTGCATATCTTTCTCGGATTAAAGCACCAGTGGATGATGAGTATAAGGAAGACAATACACCTGTGGATCAAGAAACTTTTTATTTTGGTTAGATATTACCTATTCGCACTTCAAATTGGACAATTTGATTGAATTTGACAAACATTTACAACTTGTTTACAAACTGTGAATTATTTCTGCAACGAACTTTAACTTTTTAGTGAGACTGACATTTTACGTCAGTCTGACAAAATCAATAAACATTGCAAAAACATTACAAACAATGACAAAATTCATGTGAAATGAAATGGATAACATAATACAACAGCCTTTGAACAGTAATGTGGCAGAGTACTCATTATGGAACAAATAATTTACTCTGGGAAATTTTATTGCGAGTGATCCTCCTGGGTTTGGTGTGCATAAGTCAGATTAAATCTCGACCATACATTCGTCACATTTCTGAAGCTGAATTACTGAATGAGTACAGGCGTCCTCGGCTCGACTCTTACGTGCCAGCATGGGCTACAGTTCTACTAATAGTGTTCGTGCCTCTAGTGTGCATCTGTACACGGTACATGACAACCAGAGACTACGTGGACACCGCGCAGTCCTTACTCGCCTGGACACTTGCACTTACAATAAACGCAGTAATCACAGAGTCTGTTAAACTGATTATAGGGCGACCGCGGCCCGACTTCTTTTGGCGTTGTTTTCCAGATGGACAGGTAATGCCCGGTCTCCGGTGCACCGGCAATCCGCGCGATATAATTGAAGGCAGGAAGTCTTTTCCGAGTGGACACAGCAGTTTTTCGTTTTGCTCGTTGAGCTTTTTAAGTTTGTGGTTGTGTGGGAAGCTCGGTGTACTATCACGAAGGCGTGGAAGGAGCTGCAGTCTTGTTATTTGCCTGGTGCCACTGATGATAGCCAGTGTGGTAGCTCTGAGCCGTTACTGCGACAACCATCACCATTGGGAGGATGTCTTCGTGGGATCATTGTTGGGCGTTGCTTGCTCGTACTTCTGCTACCAACAATATTACCATCCCTTAGAGTCGGAGTGGTCGGGCGAACCCTACGCGATGATAGATAACGAATTGTTTATGACTTCTTACGATAGCAATGGCTCCACGCATCACGTGCAGTGCTGCACAAAAGACATAGATAATGTTTATCTCATGCTACAATTAAGTAATAAAAAGAAAATGTTAGACACCAATAAAACATTCAGCTGAAAGATATGTAGTTTCCTTTATCTAATTACCAGTTACTCTCCTCGGGCTTGAAAAAATTCGATATATCGAAAATCAGTATTGTTATCATGGGCAGGCAAACCTATTCAAACAATGATGTGTGTCAGGGTACGTTTTCACAGAAGTGGAAGTGTGCAGTGTAGAGCAGTGTGAATAGGTAGGTGTTTCCAAAAGCAGAAGAGCGGTGCAGAGCCGAGTTGTGTAACTGAGGGAAGTGGTGCCGAGCGGAGCCGATTGTAGACGAGTTGAACTGGGATGTGAATACAATTTGTTTTCCAGCACAGCGCAACTCCGTTCTACTCGGCACAGCTCACTAAGCTCGACACCGCTGTGCCCCGCTATCTCCCATGTACCATACATTTTGAAGTAATTCTTCTCAACTCCACTAACACATTTTCCACTGAATCGGAGCGAGGATGATATGTGTAATGTGTATTTTGAGCAATGTAATTGGTCAACTTTTATATGTTTCTGCTTAGCTCCGCGCAGCTTAGCTTCTATGGAAACGCGGTTTTACCTGTGGCGCAACTGCTGGCACCGGCAGATGTACCATGGGCAAAATTGTGTTCCCGTGGTACATTCAACCAGTCTAGTTGTAACACCTAATCCTCAGTACTACTAAATCTACAGCAATGCTCCTTTGTCCATTACTATAAATGGCATTATTACTATGCGGTATTCGCCAAACGTTAGCCCATTAAATCCCATGCCATCTAGAATTAGGTGTACCGATATCACATACTAGGTTCTGACGGCGGCTTGGCTCGCGCTCCCTTGGGATAAGCGCATGCGTTACTACAGACCATAATTTATTCCGATCCCGATCCTCTCAGCCGTTTTGGCATGCTTGAGTAACACTACTGAACACTACAGAGGACAATTAATAGAGGTTTGTACCTCTATGTCACAAACCACTATTGTCCCGTCAAAGAAAAAAGGGGTTGGGGGAGGAATTTATATACATACACCATATACTAAGTTGATAGAAGACAAATACATCTGTGTATTACGCATTAGAATCAAACGTTAGAATCGTATCATCAGTTTTCATGTTATCGCATATTATCCATGTAAAGTAAATAACTTCAAATAAAACAAAATGATATAAATGATTAGTTTTATTTCGCACAGACATTCAAATGTTACGTGATACATTATTAATAATATTGCTGTTACTTTTTAAGCTCATACAGTTAACAAGTTACCTTAACACTGAACCGAACAACTTCATAAACATCTAATACAATAAATTGATTAACGACGTACAAAAAATTGAATATCTTGATACGGCACCATAGTATAATTTAATTCTTTTATTATCAACGTATTGCCACTTCTGGAAATTGCACAATATGGATTTAATATAATATCTAATCTAGTATGAAAATAAATGCATAAGTATTAAGTAACAATAACTATTTATTTAAAAATAATACAAATATATTGGAAGCCCAACCAACACTAAAATGGTGCTACGGGTATTTAATGCGCATTCTAGTTTCAAATCAACGTTTGATATCCACAATCTAGTTTAGGTACAAAAAACATTACAATACTAAAAAATCGAAAGGAAAGAACACCTCGTTTATCGCGTGTTATTAAAATAGAATATTTAGATTATACGAAGATTTAGTGAGTTTCTGACATCACTTGAAACCCGAACTCTATGCGACAGACACTTAAACATATGGAAGACAGATTAGTTCTAAAAAATGTGCAAACTGACATAGATATCACAATGTTAAGGACTAGTTTTTTAAATAATATAAATAAAAATCTCAATTGGTTCCGAGGTGTTCTACATCTGCTACAGACTCAATACAAGCGTAAATGTGAAATCTCAAAGATTAGAACTAGTGACGATAAAATTCATTTAAAACGAAGCTCACCAAACACATAGTATACACATAGACGCCGATAAAGTCCAAGTGTTTATCTTATTACTGTAAAATTAAATTAAACATGTAAGTACAAGGAATGTCGAAGCAAACGCCGTTAAAATAACTATATTTAATTTGTAAAATAAATGCAGATTACCATTAAAAAATTGGAAATGGACACATACAACATAATATATAGATGTTCAAAAGAATAAAACGTATAAAAAAGTTCATAACAATACTTACACTATTCATAAGAAAATATTAATGGATAACTATATTATATATGTTTTACTTATAACAAATAACTAGAACAAATTCTTCGACGGTGATGTATCACTGAAATAATGATAATATATACAAGATTCTAATGTAAAGCATAAGTACAATAAACATATGATGTAAAATAAATTAATAAATATTTGTTACGATCAACATCATACTATACTTCATTCGTTAGGTACGTATAGATAAATACCATTAATTAATTTACATAAATACAATTATTTGATTCATTTCTGATATTCATCAATGAGATTATTATGCGCAATACGAAGGTATATTAAAATATTTGCTACACAATATACATTTTGACTAATAAGTCATCTAAATATGTCTTATGCGTAGAAAAATAACTCATAGACTATTATAACAATAATTGAATATTATCCTTTCGACTACTTTAATTAATAATTACAATATGTTTGCATTAGTCTTTTAAGTAATTTCATATCTAAGTAACATTAGCAACTAATTAAACGCGAGCACTATAGTCGCCCGAAATAACATTGCAAAAATAGATTAATCTTCTTAGATAATAAAACGAAACCACTACATTTGTGTATTGTCAATATTCAAAGTCTTATTGTTGAAATTGTATACGGTTTATAAACACGCATTCTACATTAGACATATATATCATGATATTCGCTACATTCGCGCTGTATCATCCGCCGCTCAGCTCCTATCATAGCATAATATTTTGTAGCCTAAGCCATCCTTGATAAGTATTCTACCCCATACAAAAATAATTATTTAAATCGGTCCAGTGATACCGGAGATAAGCGCGTCCAAACAAACAGACAAACTCTTCAGTTTTATATAATAATAAGTATACATATATATAAACTCAGGATGGCCTATATCAGAATCTTCCATGTTTCACGGATGTCAGAAACACGAACAAAGTCACTAATTAATTTTCCAATGGTTTATTTCTTCTTAATAACAAAATATAACTCTAACACTCTTTAATTAGGCACAGATAATGTTACTAAATTAAATCAACTTAGAAACTGCTACAGATGGCGTCGGAAAGAAGCGATTCGTCGAGCGCGTGGTGCGTTGGCGGTTGTTCATTCAAAAAGTGTTTTTGATGGCCGCCCCGCTTCCACCGGTGTGACGTTCCGCAAGAATGGCAGGTGACAGACCATCTATCGTGCTGCCACCCTGTCCCGACGTCGTCGACAGCAAACGCGTCGCGCCGTCATATATATATATATAATAAGATATACTTATAATATAGTTACATAACGATATAAATTTAAATATTATGAGATTGTGTGTAAAGTTTTACAAGTATAATACATAGGATACATAAACTTTATAATAATTTGTTTCGGCAATAGTTTAAGTAAACGCGAGGATACCACTAATATGAAAGACTCAACATGGAAATCGAGTGATGGAGTATAACTAGGATCACAACTCATCCTTCACCTTGCCAGCGTAACTGCGACAGAACTCGTACATCTCGTCGAGAGTGCGACCGCCTTCATAGTTGGCAATAAGTTGTCCACTCGTGTACAGTTTAAACGTTGGTAGAGTCTGTATGCCAGCGAGGTCAGCGACCTTCTGGTTCTGAGATGCATCCACAGCATATACTTTAACTGGGATATCTTCAGCTTTTAGCTTGTCTGCCAGGAGATTAACCTGTGGTTTCGCATCCATGCAGTGTGAACACCCTGAGAACAATATTTCTACAATTAATCTCTCGAAAGTTAACTTTTGTTCGTAAGTTTCATACATATCATATTAAATAATTTTATTTCTTTAAAGCATGGAGTTCTTAAGAACTCCATGTTATAATAATATGATGCACAATATCACACTTAGTTAATAAAAAATCAGCAATACTTTGCCCGACCCGTGAATCGAACCCGAGACCCCTTGCTCGGCCAACGAGACAGTCAGTTATAGTAATATTCTATATTATAATTACCGTATGAAATTTAAAGTACCCATTTAATGTATATTTGCTTATTAGTCGTGTAGGAAACAGAATGTGTATAGTCCGCAGAACATTAGAGGCTATAGTGTATGCTATGAACATGAGTTCACATCAAAACAAAACTTAGCTGGCCTTCGAACTGTTGGGAAAAGTCTCACGTTCGAATAATAGAAATTATGCTAAAAGTAAACAACCGAGGTGCTGTGTCACAGTCACCGTGGATGTTTATTTCGTATTATAATCTGTTTGACAAGTTGGTCAAAGTTCTTGAGTCAATAACATAGAGTTCATCACCATTTAGGACGTTAAATTATGTATTATTATTATTTTCACTAATGAGCACTATTATTTGTGTGCTCATCAATCAGCGTGAGGTCCTGACTGTCCTGACAATCGTCATTGCTGATAATTTTTATGTTTTTTTTCATAAATGGTGTACTCGTCCAAGTTAGGAAAGTAGGACCCTCTAATCAGGCAAGGAATGGTGTCTCAACGTACCGCTACATACAAAAGCTAACATACATACATTTCGACGCAGGTTACCCTGTACTGTTAACCGAAAACCGGTGCGAGTAAATAGGAACTAAATATCTTGTGTTCCATTATTATACTAGTTATTCCCGGTCTGCTTGGTTCCTATTGTTCGTAGTGTAAAGTTTTATAGCCTTCGTTGACAAATTGATAACATAAAAATAATGACTGCACGATTGGTGCGGTAGCTGGGCAACCGGCTGCCGTGCTACGTGTCGCGGGTCCAATTCCCGCACGGAACAACACTTTGTGTGATCCACAAATTGTTGTTTCGGGTCTGGGTGTGATGTGTATGTGAACTTGTATGTTTGTAAACGCACCCACGACACAGGATAAAATCCTAGTGTGGGGCAACGTTTTTTTAAAAAAAAATAGAATTATTTCATTCGGACTGTTCGACAGTTCTGGACTTTAGCGCGTTGAAACAAACAAATTGTGCAACCCATATATGAGCATAGATATAGATTAAACAGTATAAACTTACAAGAAGCGAAGAACATGATGAAGGAAGGTGTCGATGATTTCATGACCTGCTCAAAGTCTACGTCGCTAGTCATCACTACATTTAGGCCGAATCCAGATTGCTGCGCCGTTAGTTCCTTTTGAGCGGTCGGGTGGAAGTCCGCTTGGCTATGTATGAAGTTCACGAAGTCACCTTCCTGTAAACAAACAAAAATGTCAATGATAAACAGACTAGCCACAGCAACCTATCCATATAGCCCTACCTTTTATTTTTTCCATTATCTACAATAGTTCTACATCTACACTAACCAGAGACTGGCCTTGGGTGAATTTCTATAGTGCATACAGGGATAGTCGCCGGTTTGTGTGTCCATTACATTTAGGTTGAAGTTCTCTAAAGGGCTTCTGCGCAGTTGTTTCAGCCCCTCGTACGACTCCCAAAATAACTGGGACCCGTGAATGGTAAAGAGCCTAGTAACATGACAGACAATATAGTGCTAAGTGTACTCTCAATTCTCTCATTCTCCAAATACGAGACATCTGGCGCAGGCTAACAATCAAACTTGAGGCATTACTTGCAGTGGTATATAACGACTAGAGCAGGCCAACAAGGCAATTGTATGTATTAAGTATTATTAAGGTACTACGTATCTGAATGTAGATATTCATTTATGTATATTTCGTACTAAATAATTACTGTATTATTCGTAAAATCTTATACTATTATATAAAGCGGAAGAGTTTGTTTTTTTGTTTGTTTGTTCGAACGCACTAATCTCCGTGACTACAAGTATGATTTGAATAATTCTTTTTGTGTTGGATAGCATAGAGGCTATAAAACATCACGCTACGACCAAGAGCATGTGAAACCGCGCGGAAGTAGCTAGTTAAATATATATTCAATTACCTTTCTACCACCTGTGTAATCCTTGACGGCTTTGTCGTAAAAATTAAAATATTTGATCGTAGGGTAGCCTCTGACGCCATAGTTAGCACACAGTTCCTGATCGGCGGTACAATCAACTGCTCCGAACGCTACCAAAAGTTCATCAGCGAATTTCTCTGCGGCCTTCACAAACTCCGGCTTAGTACTTTTGCAGTGTCCACACCCTGAAAGTTAGGTATTAGAATTAGAGTGGGTAAGAACTATACAACATATTTTTTATAAGAAACGTAATCATTGTACGTTTAGAATAAGTGGTGACGCCACTCTGCCCTATATCTTCTAAGTGTGGCAGAGCCATGCTTCGGCACGAATGGGCCGGCTCGACCGGAGTGATACCACGGCCTCACAGAATACCGACGTGAAGCAACGCTTGCGTTGTGTCTCCTTCCCCTTCCCCAATCTCCCCAATTCCTGAATCCCCAACGATCCTCAAACTCCTAATCCCCAAAAAGCCGGTGACGTACTTGTAACGCCTCTGGTGTTCCAGGTGTCCATGGGCGACGCCGATTGCTTACCATCAGGTAATCCGTCTGCTCGTTTACCAGCTAATGCCATAAAAAAAATATCTGATTGTTGTCACTCTGATTGGCTGCTCCAAATTAACTAAACAAGCAGAGAGCTAAACGGGCGCCACCGGTAAGATGCACACACATCATTTTCTCTTTTAGTTTCCTAACCTTAACCTTCCTCGTTTAGTTTTAGTTGAGTAAATGTTTATAGGTAACTGTACGAATTTATAAATTATTTACATCTTAAAATAAACCTAAAAACTAACACTATTACATTAACAAATCTATACACACACACGTACATACATTTATATACATATTTACATTTTGTACGGAATACATAATACTCCCTTACCAGTTGGTCGATAAAAATTCCATCGATAGTCGATAATTGTAAAGCCTCAGCCCTCATCACTAATTACCAATATAGTTATAACTATCGATATCTACCGATGATCATCTACCGATGCGTGTGCGCATATCTGTCAAACCAGTCTTGCCGAGATTTTGCTACGACGCGCATAGATAATTCTTTCACTTGCTTAACGCTGTAAAAACAACACTAATTCTATCGCAAATATCTTCTATCTAGTCCTTATTACTTCTAATACTGTCTTCTCGCTATCTCTGTGCTGTGCTTATTATGTGCTTGTGACTTTCCTACTGTGCCGTGTACTACACGTGTGTCGGATCCATCGAATAAACTTGGTGATACGTGAGTCGAACTTTTATTTACACCATGAAATACCCGACACCATCAGATTACTCCTCTAACAACCAAATGTTATTCACAATATCACTAACTCAAACGTGTTACAACAGTCAATTATATGTGCCATGCTTATGGCAAACATCTGTTTATATGTCTGAGTACAACTTACATGGTGCATAGAACATGACAATGGCGTGTTTGATCTTGCGCAGTGTGTTTCTGAACGTCGAGGTGTCGAGGTGGCGCACGGGCGACTCCTCTTCCGACCACGGCTTTTCCGGGGGTGGTGGTGGCGGTGGCTCTTGAGGGTCCTAACACCGAAAACAACAATATTTTTCATCAGCCATTATAATCAACCAGCAATTTCATTCTGTATTTTAAAATAAACTTCTAATACTTATTTTTCGGTTCAGTAAAATGTCAGTTCCTGTGTTGGAACGTAATGATGACACAACGTCACTAGAGCCCATTTTTCTCGCTATCACTACGGTGACTCGTAATATAGCCAACGAGGGTTTGAAACGATTATGCATGACATGACTATTATGTATTGTATTTTGCAGTTTTTGTAGTCCAACCTATGCTAGCAGCTCGTAACAGTCTGGGCCGGTAGCCATGAGTCTCCACAAGAGGGTTTATCATTTCCTAGCTTGGCATGTGAGTTAGAGATCGCAGTTTAAAGGGTTCTGTTTTACTACAGCACGTTGTTGTACGGTCTCTCTCGCTATTGTACCTTAGTCGGCTCCTATGACTTTGTCGGATTGTGCCAATTCTTCTAGCCAGTGCATGGCTTAAAAAAACAAAATACTTTCGGTTTCTTCTGATTCTGTATTTATTATGATAAAAATGTAAATTTACCTTAATAAAACTAATAATTTGGTCTTCTTGCCTGGCATGGCTTGCATCAAACTTATATTCTCCTTTGCTGAAGTACTTTAGAGTTGGATATCCCTTCACACCGAAACGAGAAGCCAGGTCGGGCTGCTTTGTGGCGTCAACTGCCGCCAAAATACCGTCGATCTGTAAATAAATGTAACTTCAATGGCATTAAAGCTTAGATAATAACGATTAGGCATTTATTCCTCTATGTATAGAGGTATTATGATTTTTTTCTATTACCGCCCACCTCCTACGAAACATACGAAATTTCAACTCCGTTCTTCAGTCAATCAGTTATTCAGTAACCGTCAAGCGAAGAAAGTTATCTATACTGATTGCATACATTATTAGATACGCATATTTATGTAAGACTATGACCAACCTTTTCAGACTTGATCCTTTTGGCTGCTTTCTCAAACTCAGGCTTAATTCTCTTGCAATGTCCACACCAAGGAGCGTAGAAGACTACGAGAGCATTTTTGACATTCGTAAGAGTTTCATCAAAATTGGCAACTGAAAACAAAAATCAATGTTAAATTCTATAGAATTCAGTGACATGCAGCTATTTTTGCCTACTATTTTTATCATCGTCATCATTTGTACCCATATTATGTCCAAGCTTCCCTCTAAATGTTTATAATCTCCAGCACAAGCTGTTAGATCACAGAGATTACTGATAACGGTAAAATGGGGTGAATCGATACTATGAAGAATTTCCCAATATCTATTCACCCCTCTTTTGTCTCTATTCATCTTTCGATTCCTATTCACCCCATTTTATAGTACCCAACTTTCGGAACCCAATGTTATATAAGGAATAGGTCAACAAACGAGCAGAATGACGGCTCACTCAATGAGCAATCGGCACCGCCCGCAATATCAGAGAAGTTGTCTATTATTGAATGGGGCCGTCGGTAGAGGGCGCCCTAGACGGCCATATAGTGACCAGATTGACGATATATTAAAGAAGGGCCAAATTAAAAGTACCCTTAACTGACGAGCATGCATGAAAAGATTGATGACTGTTATTGAGGCGAAAGAGGTATGTAAGAATCGTAGTAATTGGCGTTCCTTAGTCTCCCCCCATGGGAGACAGGCGTGAAGTTATGTATGTATGTATGTTGTCTATTAGGGACTGGGAATAGTGGACGAGGTTCGGGTCCCCGGTTATCTCATTCACACGGCCAAACTCAACGCAAGCGATGTTCCATGCAGGTTTTCTGTTCTGGTTTCACTCCACTCTGGCTAGCCCATTCGTGCCGAAGTATTTTTACATTTACCGTTTTAACTTTTAACCTTATAATGCTGTTGCAACCATAGACCAAAAAATATTGTCTCGTGATCACCCTTAATTTGTCAATCTACTCACTATTTGAAATGTTGTTTTTCAGTACACATACTCTCTAAGGAGATATATATAAGATGATACCTGTATCTACCTGTATACCTGTGTAATATGATATTATGGATTCAAACGGGTACAGGAAAAGAAAACCACACACACTGAAGGAAACCTCTACATTTTTTTTCTAATTATAATAATAAAATGATACTTCAGTAACGAATACCTCTAATAATTTTTGTGACCAAATATTTCTGCCACATAATGCGAGGTTTAAACATCACCTCTACGCGTACGGTTTAAAAAAATTATAAATAAATATCAAATGACCATCTTCACATACTCCAGTAAAAATCGTTGTGACATTCTGAATTCTGAAGTTAGAAAATATATTGACACTTCTGTGCCAGTCATTTTATTTTATAAATAAATACTCTTTATTATCAAAATGAGGTTTTTACCAGATATTTAAGCGGTTTCGGCCCAACAAGACTTTTTACCAAAAGATATAACAACTGGATGTCGAATGGGGACAAAAAATCCGTCTACGAAAAACAAGTTCGCTAATAAAACGGCCGTGAATGTGATTCAGCAACCGTTCTCCTGCGACCGATTCGCCATTGGACTGTTCGTCGACAGGACGATTCATTTATTTCCGTTTCCCCAACAGGATCTTTCACCTATGGACATTTCGTCGACAGAACCTTTCATATGCGTCACTTTCGACGACAGCCCTTTTCACCTACTAAGTGTTTCACCGACAGGGAGATAAACCTTACTGTAGCTCTTTTAGCTACAGACTTTTCATCTACGCCGGCGAAATCGCCGTCAATCTTAAGACAAGCAATATTACAAAAAATGCACATATATCTGTATATAGCCTACTACAGTTGCAGGCTGATGATGGTGATGATAATGAGGATGCAAGGCACTTACCAGTTAAATGCACAACATCAGAGTCTTCGGGCCAGCTTTCATCAACTACTTCTTTCTTCTTTTGTTGCATTGCAGAAGTTGGATCCCTCATGAAATCTATGATAGCTTGTTTTTTGTTCTCGCCATTGTACGGCAGTTTGTATTGGCCTTTCCTGAAAACAGAATTGGTACATTTAACCGTAATAATAAGGCTGAATGTCCAAATGTCCTTGGATATGTGTCGCCAGCGACGTTAGGCGGTCAGGTGAAGTAGCGCGTCGTCGCCGGGCTTTGGTCGACATGTCTGGTTGTCATCGTATATGTCAGCCGACATCGGCCGGCGTCCCTCGACATGTCGCCGATACATAATTGTCTTGGGACATTTGTCCCCCCTAGTGTATCCTTGGCTTTAGGATTGTTTAGTTTTAAAAGTAAATATTGGAAGTAATATTTGAACCAGATTTCTATTAATTGAACATACTTACTCATAGTATAACAGCGTAGGGAAGCCAGTAATGTTGTACAACTGCCTTACTTTTGAGTTTCCTGGTTTCGATACATCAATCGCAGCGAGTAATGATTCGCCCTATAATGGAAATATAGATAAAGATATTATTTGCTAGTTTATAATTCTTATGACGTAATATATTAAAAAATGAAGATTATTTAGAAGAAAGCCCATAAGCTTAACTAAAGTAAAAACATTTTTAGGTGTTTTTAAAGAACTAAATGACTTGACCAAATTGGTTCAATTGTTCTCGAGTTACTTACTCACTTAACAACAGACTTTATGTATGCTACACGGAATCTTATTTTCTAAGCGTATTAATCGACTAACGACTTCAAAAAACTCGAGATTTTCAATCCGTTGAAAAACTTTTTATAATATGCAGGTCTTGTTATCATCATCATCTTGATTCTATATTTTATATATCATACTGGCTTCATCCTTCTAATTATTAACTTACGTAATTAAAAATATGACAATTAGCTCTTACCTTCAATTCAGCAGCAGCATTAACATACTCTGGTTTCATAGTCTTACAGTACCCACACCAGGGTGCATAGAACATTATCATAGATTTCTTGTAAGCACCAGCGCCTTTCTTCAAGAACTTGTTCAGAGCCTGGAACCAAAAATAACGTTTATATCACACACGTGCAATTTAAATCTTGGTAATATTTCGAATCTCTGGACAGTACGGTAAACTATAATAATAATTTTCATTATGTATTTTTAAAGAAACCGACTACAATCTTCACACATTCACAGACAAACAAACATACTTCTCTTAAAGTCGATTGAAAAATGTCAGTCGTGTGTATTTTTTCTAAAATCGCGGTGCGAAGTAAAAATATTTTTTACTAATCTTGTATTAAAAATAATCTTTAATTTTCTTTTCGTCATAATTCACGTGTGAATGGTTCATTCGCACTAGCATAGATCAACGAAATGTGATTTGCGAAAGTGTAAAAAATGTGGAAATTAACTTCTTATTAATTGTAGTTCACAGCCTGTTCGCAATATTCGCAAAATGCTGAGAAAAAATGTGTCTTATGAGAATAAATTACAGAAAATACTTTAAATGTCTTCAAATACGTCTCATAACGATATAATTCGCTTATGTTTCGCATGTAAAAAATAATATCACTTTTAATATTCCTTTTTTTATATTTCTGTAACTAAATAGTTGTTCCGTGTGGGAATCGAACCCGCGGCAAGTTGCGCGGCATTCGGCTGCCCATCTACCACTCCAACGTGCAGTTAGTCAATTGGTTTTCACTCACTGATAGAGTGGTCGCAAGTAAATATTCTCGGGCGCAATTTTCAAGATAAGAGAGTTTAGTAGTTAGAGTTTTCGACATTCTCAGTAGTACCACAGATTAGGTAGGTAAGTACATATTTTGCATGGTGTTTGTTGGCCGTCCGGTACAACGTAACTGATTCACACCCGAACACTGAAAGGCTACTAAATTTTAACTTGTTCTTAAAAATCGTGCCATCTCAGTTGTTTTACAATTAATTGGTAGTGACAGAACTATAGGTACTTAAGCGCGTCTTACAAATGAGTAGAGTTTGAGTATGTGTTCTTAAATCTGGTGTTATATTTACGTATACGTAGCTATGTGCACTTCTATCTATCCTTGGAATAAATATGTGATGAAAGTAAAAAAAAGACTACGCGGTAAGAAAGGAAAATGAAGTTTCGCATGTGCAAATAAATCACTGTAATAATATTGCTCAATCGCATTGCAGAAAATAAACTCACTGTTAGTTTGTTATGTAAATACTATGAAGTAGGTACATCTGAAAACTAAATAAACAAACAATATCAATCATCACCACATCTGATGACAAGTATATTTGTTAAGACCTTTTGAATTTTCCTTTCAGTAATTATTATATATTTTAGCTTCTCCAAATTCTCAGCCGTATCATGGAGGTACCGTTCAATTTCATTAAAGCTAATAACATATCTGGCTGAAAGAGGACACACTGCCTACCACTTTTTTGTGGGACTCCTCAGAATATTTACAAACACTACGATTCACACGCACATCGGAAATGGTTTTCAAAAACAATAACATTCGCTTTTTGGTCATCACAATTTGCACTTAGCACTATAAAATAACAAGTATAAAGGCTTAATCAGAGTAATTACAATATTAGCCTTGTATATAATAACTAGAGTACATTGATATTTTACTATAGCTCATAACTTTTGTAAAATACAATATTTACAATAAAATGTTTTTAAATATGTATTGTGATTGTGATCTAGATACTCATTCAACTGATTTATTCACTTTAATGTGCTATGATTAAGATTATTAGCGTTAAATAAGACTTTGCATAAACACAGTTAGTTTTCTAAACAAATTTTGAAATGCTCATTTCAAGTGGTCACACTTATCAAGTAGTTAATTCTGATAAGAAAATGTTAGCACAATTCAATTTTATATAGGGAGCTGCAGTATGAAATGTTAATTGTACGAATTTAATAAAGTACCTACATTTTATTAAATTTATAGAACCATTTTCACAAAAAAGTACGTGTAAATTAGACAATGTAGGTACAAACCTCTCCATCTTGAAGATGAAATATGTCAGTTGCAGTAGGATCCTCATCCCACGGCAGATCTCCAGTGGGATCCCTCAAGAAGTTTGACAGCGAGTAACTTGACTCATTTCTGTCATAGTCTTTATGATATTCGCCATCTTTATAATGCTTCATGTAGTAGGGTTTATCTGTAGCCACTTTCAGTTTCTTGCAAAGCTTCCTACCTTCACTGAAAAACAATAAAAAAAAATATTTATTTCTGTTAGGATCATACAAATGTAGTAATTAAAAAATAATAATTATAGTGGTTTTCTAAACAATGGTAAAAATTATACTGCAATGTCTATTTAGGTTGCTGTTTGTCCCTTGAATTACTTATAAGAAAGTAACAATTTGTTCATTTGATTTTATTCTAACAAAGTAATAATACTTATTACCAGAAGAAAATGAAATGTAGAAGTTTGTCAACTTACCTACTATACTCGGAATTTTAATTCGATTCCAGATTTGACAATTTCAGTGTTGCAACGTTATGACAAGTACTAAATAGTGACGTTGCGAAATTATTCGAAATGGAAATGGAATATTTCTGGATCGATTCTTCTCGTTTATAAGTTTACTCCCGTAAACTAAGTATATCAGGAAATAAAATATTTCTGAACCGATATTTTAGTTTTGACGATTAATTAACGATCTAAGACCTTTCTTTTATAATTGTGTGTGAAATAAATAAAAAAAATGTAATCATGAAGGAACATGACAAATAAAACAGATAGATGTATTATGGTAATAAGTTATTTTACAAATTGCCGTCATCGCTATCGCTATCCTGTCACTTTCTGTAACATTTATTATAAAACACACACACTGATTGTTTCTCGATTTTTGTGTGCATCACTACACTATTATATGTGGTATCATTATTTCACAGAATGACAGTAGCTATTGTCAAATCTGGAATCTAATTAAAATTCTGACTATAGTACAGTCTATTAGAGCAAGAGTAGCTTGTCCCTTCATAGCATCAGCAGTGTCTTTGAACACGTCTACTATGGTGTGTGAATTCTTCGGCTCATTCACATATAATATCAAAACATTAGTCTTAGTTCTTAATAGTTTCTTAAAATCTTTTATATCACCTATATCTGTAATAACTGCTGTTCTTTGCTTCTTTGCTTGCTCAGACTTTTGAACAAATATTACACATAGCAGTAACAACACCTGAAACAATGATTATTTTATTATAATGTGGATTTAGATAGGGTTTATTTACATTTTAAAATGTGTACAATAGGTGGTCTTATTGCAGAATGAGATTTCTTACGGACAACCTTTGGATGGAGCCAGTAATCAGGAGTTGGGGTAAAAAGTATCCAGTGTACAATAATAATCAAACCTACTACATACATAATTACCCAACAAACAAATTGGTTATGGTTAAAAAACATATCTTAAGTGACTTTCGTTGTATAACCGTTGAATAGATGATTTTAGACAACTAAGACATGTAACCGTTATTCCTACACAATAGTCTTACTGACTGAAAGGTCCTATTAACTCGTCGAGTACCGGTTTTGTAGACACAATTATAGAACAATAGGTTGCGGTCACCGGTGACCGCTTGGTGTTTGACAGTTTAAATAGTTAAGTAAATGCTTTAATGACTAATTTATACATCATAATATGAAGAAATACGTTAAGTAAATGCATTTACCAGTATACAATACAACGTCATATGACGATGTCTATATACGACACTATATAGAGATGTGGGTGTATTTTTTATGGAATGGAGGCAAACACCCATATGTATAAGTTAGGTAAATGTAGTGGTTCTAATGCAACGTCATATTGGTCACATATTGTAAGTTGGATAAATGTTTAAGTAACTAAATAAAACAATGTTTATATAAAAGTAAGTAAAATTGTTTGTTTAACTTGTTGAGTACCGTCATTATAGACACAATTATAGAACAATAGGTTGCGGTCACCGGTGACCGCTTGGTGTTTGACAGTTTAATCAGAACATTGCAAGCTGTTTATTTTAGCCCTAGTATGTAACGAAGTATTTCAGTGGTGAACCCGATTTATTGTAGGACAAAGCATTATTTTGTAAGAATTACAAAACTTTAAGCACACGTAGACATTACATAAAGACACAAATAGCTGTTTTTAAACTCCATTATGTTAGCTAAACCAATTTTTTTACAATTTGCAAAAGTACCTACATTCAAAAAAATTAATGTAGTTGGTAATCTGATCAGACTTACAGCTGAGGATAATAACAAAAAATATTGGTAAATATTTGATATTAACTCAAATATTTATAATATTATAAGAAATATTCTAAATCTAATTTTACATTGCATTGTCTCATTATATTTTATAAAATGTGGGTAGGTACTTATAAGTTTCAACAATTAGTTTTGATTAAACTGTCAAACACCAAGCGGTCACCGGTGATCGCAACCTATTGTTCTATAATTGTGTCTACAAAACCGGTACTCGACGAGTTAAACTGTCAAACACCAAGCGGTCACCAGTGACCGCAACCTATTGTTCTATAATTGTGTCTATAATGACGGTACTTGACGAGTTAAAACAGTTTAGGTTGACTTCACACTCTTAGGCATTGAATATCCTGAGGGAATTTACTTACGACGCCAATACTACTATTTTAGAGGCTACATAATAATGAAGATAATTCCAACTAAATACGAGACATCTACTTATCCTAAATTACACTTAATAATGTATGAATAAATAAGGTTTTAACTAAAAATACATGTTAAAACAGGATACACTCAATTTATCATTTGCCGCATGGTGTTGTTCGCAACTGATAAAGTTGCCGGCACTTTCCAACGCCTCCGCATTTAAAAAGTTACGTTCATAACCTGTTTTCACTTCAGGGACTAATTTTAGAATGCACCTATCATTATCAAACTGTAAAGTTATCTGATACTAAAGAAGTTGTACCACAATTATCAAAGAAAGATAAAAATCACTACAATACAGTTATAATTTCAGAATCATGAACGATAAAAGTATTGCAAGTGAATTATAAAAACTACTCACCCTCCAAACTATTTTTCGATCCATGACCGTCGATAGTAGCACCTTTGATAAATAAATATTGCTTTTATAATTATATAAAAAATTATATATGTAATTTTTTACTTTATCCTAACGTTACTTTCATTTACTTTTGGATGACAAGCAAGCTTGATACACACCATCAGCAGTTTTGAAATGACAACCTTATGACATAATGACGACTGGCTGACTAGCAATGACAGATTTGACAATCAGCAGTGTTGAATATCATTTTTTTGTATAAAACTAATTTAATTTTCACACGGTGAAAATAAATTGATCACTGCTACATATTGTATTTCGATCAATGAATGCCACTACCGCAGTTACCACCTTTCGAATTTCGGAATTCATTGTAAACCCAAAGCCACACACACTAGATTGATGGACTTTATTCAACATCGTAAATAGGAATAATTATTATGTGTGCAAGGAAATCATGAAGATTACGATTAATGCGAAATCATAAAGATAACGATTAATAAGAGACGATTTTACGGTATTGTTGTCCAAAAGACTAGATGCCAAGTCTTATTAAGGCGGTTCTTTATAACAATACTCAATGTCACAGAGGTCATAGCAGCTGGTATGTTTTCTTTGTAACAAAAATTACCGTGTAAATTTGAAATATAGTGATTGGCTAAACCCTCATTCGGTTCTGTTTCCCATTGGTTTAAAATTAATATCTAACAATTACGAACTATCACATATTTTTAATGTAAATAAGAATAGAAATCATTTTCGATTACAGCACTTCGTTCCGGTTTCCCGCTAGCGGTGAAGATATAATTCGTATTTATTCATGTAAGTGCACAAAATAAATGATTTTTATGTTTACCCGTCATTCCTTTGCTAACACATTCTTCACTGAATAATTTCCTTATTCATAAATAGTACCTGGCCTACTACAAAACCAATTTACAGATAGTAGTCAATTGCATTATCATATTAAGGGAAAGATTTTATTTTAAAAATGCAGGTTCTGACATTTTACTATTAATTTATAAAACGTATCAGTAAGTAAGTACCTATCTTTAGATTATGGCGCTACCTATAATTTTGCCATATTATTTATCATTTGGGAATTTTTAAGATGTAGGTAGGTAATATTTACCTTTAGGAGAACTGTTTTATTTATCTAGAAGTTTATAAATTGATACAGAGGTTATTGTCGACATCATAGGTTAAGACGGTCAAGCAGGTCATGACTCAATGTCGCAAAAAAGAAAATATTCAGTTTTTATCTTTATGGATATTTAAACCAAATGATTGTATCTACCCACTAACTGATTACAAGTATTGCTATCTAAGTTTATTATCATAATATTATAATCTTATAATAGTTTTTAAACTTTACATCATCCAAAATAATTTTCTAATGGAATAGATACTTAATAAGTGTATTTTTTAGATATCCATCAAAATGGGCCGTAAATTCGTGGTTGGTGGCAACTGGAAGATGAACGGTGACAAGAAACAAGTCACAGAGATTGTTGATACACTTAAAAAAGGCCCATTGGATGCCAATGTGGAGGTAAAAGAGGATTTCTTTAAACATCGTTACTTTTTGTTATGATGATTACATTCCATATTTTAATATTTTTCAACATTTAATTGCAGGTTGTAGTGGGCGTCCCCGCAATTTACCTGGAGTATGTCCAAAGCATTGTTCCCAACACAATCAATGTTGCCGCACAAAACTGCTGGAAGTCACCAAAGGGTGCTTTCACTGGTAAGAAACTAAAGTTATATACAAAATAATATTCCTTGTATTTGTGGAAGCACATTTAAAATCATTTCTCATATTCCAGGTGAAATCTCCCCTGCTATGATTAAGGACATTGGAGCCAACTGGGTCATCCTTGGCCACTCTGAACGTAGGACCATCTTCGGTGAGAAAGATGATCTGGTTGCAGAAAAAGTAAGTACTAGGTATAAAAGTATTTTCTAATGTTCATAAGAAAAAAAAAGCAACTTACCGACCGAACGTATAACCTCCTTTTTTTAAGTCGGTTAAAAATAAGTAATTTATCTAATCAGATATGTACTAAATAAGAGTGAAACTTTTAGGTTGCCCATGCTCTTGAGTCTGGACTGAAGGTTATTGCTTGCATCGGAGAGACACTTGAGGAAAGGGAAGCTGGAAAGACTGAAGAAGTTGTATTCAGGCAGACTAAAGCCCTTTTGCCAGCTATTGGAAGCAACTGGGACAAGGTTGTACTGGCTTATGAGCCCGTCTGGGCTATTGGCACTGGAAAGACTGCCACCCCACAGCAGGTAATAAAATTTATTTGTTTCATAGAAGATAATAAAATGAAACACGCAAATATTTATTGGTTTGTTGGTTAAAAGTGTATACATATTATATAATTTTGAGCTTATCTAGTATAACAATGTTCACAAATTAAATCAAAATTGGTCTCAGTAATAAGTATAAAATCTAAAACCTATATGCATTGACTGGACTATTGTTCTAAATCAATATGGTATGAGGTATAATTAACAGTCTTAAATGATTTTTTGCAGGCTCAAGATGTACATGCTTCTCTACGTAACTGGTTGTCGGCTAATGCTTCTGCTGATGTTGCTAACTCTGTGCGTATTCAGTATGGTGGGTCAGTAACTGCTGCCAATGCTAAGGAGCTAGCTGCCTGCCCTGACATTGATGGTTTCCTCGTCGGCGGAGCCAGTCTCAAGCCAGAGTTTGTTGACATCGTCAACGCCACCCAGTAAAACACCAGTCTGCTAGCGCATTCGTATATTTACGTTTTATAATAATTTTGTTGTAAGGTTAATTTATAAATTTAGAAACAAATCATGGAAACAAATATATGAAATTGTACCTATTCCTTATTAAGATTTTTTTATTAAGAACTATATTTTTTGCTTTGGCGAATGTTATTATTGAGATTGATTAGAAAAGTTACTGAGTAACAATATAATTATGTTGTACTGATTTATAAGTTATCAATCACTGTCAAATTGCTTTTATTTCATGTTATACAATTTTTTTTCCTAAAAAAGAAATATATTATCACTTACCTAAAGTTTTTGTGTTTGACTTTGGACCCATTGTCTATGTTGACAACAAACTATTGAGGATAGTACCTAATATTTTTACAAGAAAAAGCATCTAAAACAAGAAATAGCGATAGGAGTAAATTATATCTCTTTATTGAACAGCTGGCAATTTGTGAATGAGTTTACATAATGTTTATGCACTATGCATAACAAGCACTATAAAACAGGTTTAACAGGTAGGTATTCCTCATCTTTTTTTGCTTCGCATTATATTGAACTGTAATTTGTAAACATTTGAGTATGTGCACATTGAGCGATGGTACTTTACACTTAACTATTTTTTACATACAATTAGGTTCACAAATACAAACAATAAAAATCATCGACTTACGTCTCTCGAAAGCTAATATCTAACTATGAATAGTCAATGCATAACTAAATCAAATTGCCTCGTTCCCTTACATATTCTAAGTACCTAAACTTAAATATAACTAACATTATTACGCTGTATTGCCATAAAGTAAAAAGATTGTGTAATTAGGAAAAGCAGGTGAGGGTAGGAATGTTTGAAGCCTTTTAAACTGTCAAATACCAAGCGGTCACCGGTGACCGCAACCTATTGTTCTATAATTGTGTCTGCAAAACCGGTACTCGACGAGTTAAAACCCTTAAACACAATGGTACAAATAGGTTAAATGCCTCAAGGCCTGCTCAACTAGTATATGTTTAGGATAGGACACCAGAAGTAAACTACATACTATTAGGTAGGTCCTATTTGTACCGTTGCAATCAAATTTGTTTGCCAAATTGCACATTAGGTATACATATAACGATAAGCTTGGTTATTAATATTTTGAACCTTGTGGTCACTTCATACAGATCAAATTACAAGTGTGAATGATATAAGCCAAAAATTTCTCACTAAAAGTACCTAATCTGAGGCTTTTTAATACTTGAAAATTACCTATGTACCTAAATAATTTTGTGCTTCTATATAATGAACTTAAAAGTAAAACTATAACACCATCACGCCCATTGATAGGTATACTTATTTGACTACATAAAGATTGACAGTAAACAAAACAATTCCCCATAGAATAGTTTGTAGATTTTCTATAGCTTAGGTATGAGATTCTTTCTTCCACAAAACGTTTATTACTAAGGTCCTTCACCTTACAACTTCAAGAGTTTAACTTCACAGTTCTTCAACTTTGCTAACAACCTTGCCCAAGAAAGGCAGGTGTTTCACAATAGGTTCTCCAAAACTGAAGACTGTTTTGATGGGTCCACACCAGGATGCAATGAATGATAAAACAAAGAGCCAGAACATAGTCTTGACAAACCAGTCCAGTACGTAGAGGCTGAAACAAACAAACAAATTGTAGTAAGTGAACTGAATACGTTAAGTATGAAAATCTCGGATATTTTCGTGTCGTATCTACTAATAATTTATCAACATTATTGCTGTTTCATCACCCTTTTTTTTTTTTTTAAGGGGGGATAATCATCGAATGACTGCTCCCGCCTGGGTGAGGCGGGAGGGAGTGTCAGACTCTTACTGACTAAAAACCACCCCGTTCCTTCTCCTGCACGTCGAGCCGGAGCCCCGGTTACCCGTTAGGTTCTCCGCGACTCCGAATCGGCATCGACCCTATTGGGCCCCATCTGTGGTGGTCTGATGGCTCTTTGAGGCGCGCGCGGAACGCGACGCGCCGTACGCTCGGGTCTGTTTCTGGTCGGGCGGGGAGCCACCCATGCTCGCCGTCCGCAGGCCCGCGCTTACGGTGGCCGGAGATCGTCCCGCGATCCCCGACGCCCGGTGTGTCCTTCGCGATGGCTGGGTTGCGAGGAGGCAGCGCTTCGCTGCCTCACGCGTCCCGCCTCCTCCTTAGCTAGCATGACTGCTTCGCAAAAGGAGGAGACGGCATCCCAGTCCCCCTCGCTCCGCATCATGGCCTGCACTAGGCCCGGACGCGAGAGGTCGCCATCGCCGATCACTTCCCTGAGGACAAGGCGGTGCTCAGCCCACGCAGGGCATTCCGCTACAGTATGTTCCACCGTGTCCTCAGGGCGGTCCTCGCAGTGATGACACCCAGACGTTTCCTCCCGCCCCATCAGACACAGGTACCTCCCGAAACTCCCATGTCCGGTGAGGACCTGCGTCAGGCGGTAGGTGAGGACGCCGTAGCGTCTCTCAAGCCACTCCTCAAAGAGGGGACTTACCGCTGCGATGGCAGCGAGCCCAGTTTCATCACCCTAGCTACACAACTCGCAAGGCATCACTTTCCCAGTTGTGTAGATTACTGTTTATTCGGATTGACCATATCTTTATCATGAAAGTTGTAAGACAAATGCAAATATTGGTCGGAACCAAACACATTCCTGATAGCCCTTGAAAGTCTATTGGTGGACTAGTGGCCTTCTCTAGTATTTGTAGTCCCTAATGGTTGCATATCCATGTTGTATAAATATAATAATATTATAATCCTCTATTGCTATGCATCCCTTATCAATAAATAACATTAACCTTTACATCAGCATCTAATTCTGTCAAGGCAACATTATCAGAGCTCAGAGTCGTGTGACTGCGACGATCTAGAGCAGTCAATATTATATCTGATAGCCACAGAAACAACGTGTCTATTATTTATTGACTATTATTATATATTAGTATTTAAATTATTTATGGTTTAATTTTTTCCTAATGATGACTTCAAGGTCATTAGGATAGAGTGACCTAGTCTGGTTATAAAGTCTCTTTTGTACAGTTGATGATAAGAGGGCAGTACTTACAAACGATGATAAATCCTGTTGTAGGGAATTTTGTTCGGGTCTTCCTTAAAGCAGTACACACGACCTCCTTCCACACACATCTTCATATACTCGTGACGATCCACATCCGTAGTGTCAGTGTTGTAGATTTCCTGTTCTTCTGGACTTAGTTTTTCTCTGATTGCATCGTAGTTAGGACATGGGAAGTTCCACGGGCGCATTGTGAAGTATTGCAACACTTCCAAACCTTGGGATATTCTTTCTTGGATTCGTATCATTCTGTAGAAAAAAGTTACAAGGTCAACCTTGACCTACCCGGCTTTTTCAATGAAAAATGTGTTGCTAATGGAAATAATAAATACTGGGTAGGTACATGTACTGACGCATATGTTACATGCATTGTGATGTAACATCGCCTATGGCATTGTCGTTACTGAGGCCTATCTAGCTACACAATACCAGTTGAGTAGACTTTAGCTACACTTCGGCATGTGGGTAGGACTTCATATTTTTTTGCAGTTGGGGCGGACATTTAAGTCATCTTTTTTTTAGATTGAAAATCATCCAATGAATTCTCTCGCCCGGGTGAGGCGAGAAGGAGTGTAAGACTCTAGATTGTCCTATCGTTTGAACAACAGAAAAACTGGATTTTTAATAAAAAATAATTTCCTATAAAATTAATCACATTTTTTAAGAATATCTCGCTTTACTAATAGTTTACTCACATTCTTTTTTGTCCAAGTAAGAACAAGAGAAAATCGATCAGGTAGGCAGGCACTAGATGGTAGAAGATTCTTCGGTACTCATGCAGCACAGCGTTCGTGGTGATGTCTCCGTTAGGATACCAGAGCGGCCAGGACAGGGGGTACTTTCGACCATAGTCCTTAGCTATTGTGAGCACGTCACCCCATGTAGTAGGTTTCTGATGACCATTGTTCACATTGTATACAGGCAATGATGTATGTCTGAAAAAATGGTTTATTTAATGTAAAAACTTGATTTCAATATTCAGGCAATGTTAGAAAATAAAATAAAAATCAGAAAATTATATTTACAAATCTAATTTTCGTCTTTAACGGTAGAATGCGTCGTTCTTTTGTAATATAACTTCTAAAAAACAATAGCACAAATAAAACAATAACTGACTAACGGCAACCATGCTGTTAGTGGGACCTTTTCGATTAACCGACAACCTCAACAATAATGTGCCTAACCCAGGTATCGAACCCAAGATTTTACCGATCAGACCCTTGCTGTGCTGTACTCACACTTACTAGAAAACTTAGTCATAGGTGCTTACTTTTCTTTCTTATTTCCTTCAATCATTCCTATAGCTATGATACCGTTGATTGCGATATCTACTGGGCAAACTTGGGCGGTAAGAGATCCGTCGCAGAGCATTGTTCTGATGACTCCCTTTCCAGCGCCTAGCATCACGCCCACTGGCCCATTCAGGTTGTCCACCCAACCTGGCACAGGCTCCTTGAGCGATGGACATACTGAAATCAGAAAACGTTTTTATACCAACACACTTTTTTCAATGATGAATGAAAAGAAACCAAGTAGAGAGAGGCCTTGTTAACTTATTGATACACAGAAAATGTAATTGTACGACAAATGCACGAACGTGGAGAATAACCAATTGTATATATAAAAAACCTAGGTTTAATGAATTTCCTTCTTCCTCCTGCCCTTTACCGCTTTAGGATAGACCCAGTGTTTCTACTATACTTTTCCTACTACCTACTTTCCATGACTTCATGAAAGCAGATGCAGTAGATGTCCATCACTTGAATGACATTTTAGTTTGAATTTTTTCTTTTTTTTTTAAGGGGGGATAATCATCGAATGACTGCCCCCGCCTAGGTGAGGCGGGAGGGAGTGTCAGACTCTTACTGACTAAAAACCACCCCGTTCCTTCTCCTGCACGTCGAGCTGGAGCCCCGGTTACCCGTTAGGTTCTCCCCAACTTTAGTTAGAGTTAGAGGCAAAACTCACTGGATAATAAGTACTTTATCGTGATCATTGCCTAAAAACAATTAACCTATTCGTGGGACATGGACCTTAACAATATACCTACATAAACTTTGTAATCGTAAAAATATGAAGCAATATTTACCAATACTAGGTCGTGCAATGACAACTGGCAACTCGTCGTGTGCTTGTTCCACAATAGTTTCTGCGAGTCGCTTGGAAAACGTGTAACAGTTGGGATGCGGACCAAGCAGCGAGGGAGTCAACAAAGCCAGCTGTTTGTCATCCAACCATTGAATCAGTTTCATCACGTTCTCTGGTTTGACTGGGGGACCGAAGCACTGAAGTAAAAAGAAAACATTAGGTAGTTAGCCAGTCTTATTTTTAAGGGGGAAAATTATCGAAATACTTTTTGGGTGAAGTGGGATGGTGTGTCAGACTCTTACTGACTAAAAACCACCCCGTTCCTACTCCTGCCCTTCCGAGCCGGCCCCATCCTAAGGGCACAAAGTTAAAACATATTTATTTATTTTTTAGTTAAGACTAGTATATCATTTCCTTCCGTGTAGTGTATCCTTTTTAAGGGAGAAAAATCATCCAACGACTGCTCCCACCACCTTGGATGAAGCGAGACAGAGTTTCAGACTCTTGCAGACTAAAACCCACCCTGTTCCTACGCATGCTTCGAGCCAGACCTCTGTTACTGGATTGTCCTCAGCTCCGGAAGTAGTAAATCCTGAATAATAATTGAGGATCACACAAAGAATTGTTCCGTGTGGGGAATTGAATCCGAAACATATTACGCAACTGCCGTTTGCCCAGCCACTGCCTACTCAATTTTCAGGTTCAGGACAGTTTTCTCTAAATATGATATAAAATATTATAAAAGTATTGCAACTTACGCATGTAAGTTTCAATTAATCAATAATACTAACTTTTTACGCTTTCTGCGGCGTTGTACTACTGGCGTAGAACAGCGCAGCCTACTTGTAAATTAACTTTTCACAACAACCATTTAATGATTTATTATTAGTAATACTTACTTTCTCCCCCAACACTTCATAGTCAGGATAACAGAAAGCCGTGGAAAGGTGAACGAAGATGTCCAGTTTCTTAAACTTCTTAGCAATGTCCAATGCTCTTTGAGTACCACAAGTATTCATATTGACATTGTCTTTTAAGGGAGCTTCCAATCTTAGGGTCGCGGCAAAATGGAATACCACTGATACTTCATTACACAACAATTCTATATCAGAATCTGATAGTCCCAAGTTATCGAATAAAACATCACCCTGTAGTGGCTTCATCTTCTTAAAGGCGTCCGGTTTTTCAGTCCGTATTCGTTCGAAAAGCTGGAAAAAAATAATTTAATTTTAACACATAGTTTTCTTTCAGTAATTATTAGGTATTCGTTGAGGTCCTTAAAGCTTTAACCCAGTAATTCAATACAAGTGACAATATATCAACAAGGCAAGGGAAAACATAAGAACTTAGTATATCGTGAGGATATTATTACACAAGGAACTTGATAAGTATAAGTAAACGATATAGCCTAGTTGAATTTAATTTCTATTCTTTAGAATTACTATTATGGGAGTAGACAATAAGTCTGATTTCAATGCATGCAACTAATAAAACGGCTTAGAAAGACATAATAAACAGAACAGGTGACTTTACCCTCAATCGCTGCATATCTTCAATCCTTTGGGCAACAGACTTTCCTCTCTTGGGTCTCATGAGTATGTAGATGTTGCCCAGGTCAGGGATGGAGTACAGCATTTTTTCAATTAGCACTTTGCCCATGAACCCAGTACCTCCCGTCACCAGGATGTTTCGACCTTTGTAGAAGTCTCGAATTGAAGGGTTCGACATTTCTGAAAAAATAGAAAATAAAACTATTATTATCGATCTCCTCCCTGACTTTATCAGAAGATACTCTGAATCCCCTAATCAGAACATAGCAATCTCCGTCTCCGTCCGTCCGTTAGGTATAGGTCGAAACTCGATTGAAATTCCTGCATAAATAGGTAAATAGGTTTTTTTCTAAGGGGGGAAAATCATCGAATGACTGCTCCCGCCTGGGTGAGGCGGGAGGGGGTGTCAGACTCTTACTGACTAAAAACCACCCCGTTCCTTCTCCTGTACGTCGAGCCGGAGTGGAGCCCCGGTTACCCGTTAGGTTCTCCGCGACAGGTAAATAGGTTTACGTTGTAGTTTCTTGTTTGTATGTATAAAACTGTCAAACACCGCGAGGACAACAGTGTCCTCACACCTCTTGTTCTTTACTTGTGTCTATAATGACGGTACCCAAAGGGTTAAGGGTTAAGGGTTCCCCTTATTCCGTAACATTCCCCTTATTATGAGGGGGGAAAATCGTCGAATGCTTTCTCTCTCCCTGGATCAGATGAGAGGGAATGTCAGACTCTTACTGATTAACACATTTAATGCCATTACGGACAATGATGTCTGACGTTAGCGAAGGATTAGCCTTTAACAGTTTTTGTTAAAAGCTAGGTACAGTAAACACCACTACGTTCTAACTCTTGTTTCGAGTCGCAGTCACAGTAACTTCTTGTGTTTTTCCGCAGTCATAATAAATAGGTACCCTTATATTGGAAGGGAGAGTTAAACTTATAACAATACAAAATTTCTGTAAGCAGCCTAGATATTAGTACCTAGGTACTTGCATTACACCTAAGACACGTCTAAGAGCATTTCTATCCATCAGTAGGTACAGTATTCGTTATATTTAAAAAGAACCGTTAAGATAGACGTTTTCGTAACTTGTGCCCACACAGTTAAGTAATATAATAGTTAAGTACGAAGGTTATGAGTTTGGGGACAATTTTTGTATGTATAGTAGAATATAACAGAATAGGTACATGTAGATATGTGGCCACTGTACTTACATAAGTATTGAAGAACACGCATAAATTATTGATCAAAATGTATCGTGAAGTTTAGATTAGTAAACCTCAAACCTCTATGTACAATATAATTATTGTACATAGAGGTTTGTATGTACGTGCATTCAAACAATATAGTCTTATGTAAGTGTGTGTACGTTTTGAATAAGACACTCCATGATAATTTGTGAAGAAAATCTTCTAATACTGTTTGTTTATGCAAAAAATGTTACATACAATGTTTAAATGTGAGAATGAATGGCATTTGTTTTAATGATTATGATATTTACAATACCTTACTTGTTGGAAAACCTTGAGATTTTTGTTGAGTATGACACTATTAAGTAGTTAACAAATGCTGTTAAGGTTAGGTATAGGTTTTTATTTTTTAATTGTTTCCGTCAGTTCAGTCTCAGTTGTCTAACAATCTAAAAGATTAATTATCACGCAATTACAAAACAATTGGGTTTCCATTAAAAAGGGTGATCCACTGGAATAGTTTTGAATACTCAAATTTTACGGGCAAATTTACAGGCACGTACCACCCTGGAAAGGAATTTCAACTGGTCCGCTGGTTCTTCTTCTTATTTAGGCTTGTATTATAGTTCAACAGTACAAAGTGAGACTGAAAAAGTTTAAATGTGCTGTTGAAGTTGAAGGAACCAGTTATGAGTAGCTAGTCACAAGGAGAGCCTTGTTGTCATCCCTAAAGATCCTTTCAAACTTTTTGACCGATAATGAGAAATTCGCTTTTAAAGTGTATTTTACGGTGTCGTTTCTGGAAATTATACCGGTTCAAAATCCATCTGACTTACAGGGACTCTTAGGTACTTAAGGACTCAAAAAAATAGCAACCCGTATATTCTAAATACTGAACAATTTATCTCCGTATGGGTACAAAACTAGGTAAGTACTTAATTATTATCTATGTTTTGGATACTAAATGACGCACATTTAACAATAACACAGAACCAATCATCAAAATGGCGCGAAATTGAACTTTCTATGTTGTTCGCGTTTCATAATAAAATATTCCATAGGTACCACCAACTGGTTTTATTATATTTAACTCGTCCACACAGTTATTATGTAAATCATAGTAATGCTTCTATTAATGGAGTGGTTGTAAATTATAAAGCTGTGTTTACAAGGTTGAATCCAGTGCATGTGTAGATGCTTTATAACACTTGCCTATGTGAATGTAAGTAGGTGCGTACTAGTTTTTAAGGATATAAATGATATACGTCTTGATGTCAACTCCGTATATTCACGACTGGGTAGAAACTTACGATGCGGGCGCAGCCGCCACTAAAGTGCTATCTCAGCATTCAGTGAATGCGTACATATGTGTAGTATATTACTTTGTATATATTGACATGTGTCCCTACAGTAAAGTACACTTCTAATAGTCGTCGGCTGGATAGAAGCAGATAAGTAATTTATGAAAAGTAAAAGTAACTGTATTATTGTATTGAATTGAATAAAAACAATTCTGGGTTTACCCAGGAACCCACCAACAGATCCTTACATGATGATTGTTAGACCACTCAATACCTATGCTCAGATTTACAAAAAATTTAGTGATAACACGAGATCTGGAGTTTTGCTTGGTGCTTACACATTAATCAACAGTGTCAGCTACAGGTAGTTCTTATTCTGATTAATTAAGTAAATGAATTCTCGCTGACATTGCATCCATCTCTAACTTCAATTCAAGTATCAATTTCATTAAAAATGGTATTTGATATCCGGATGTGATGAGGAAAAATATTCATTCCATGACAAAACCTTTCCATTTGCCTGGTATTATGTTTCGTAACGTTACAAAAAATACATTAGTTTATAGCTTATATTCTATGTTTCTCTTATTAATTTTGTGCGTTCGGTTATGGTTCGGTTGCAGCCCAACCATTATTTGTTATAAATGTTTTGTTTTAGGAAGACCAATTAAACTTTTCCTAATTACCTCCTTGAAAACTTAATGTACCTACCTATACTTATATAAGTACAAAGCCGTTGAAAAAAGGATCTGTACCTACATAATAAAGAAACAAATATATGAAAAAATTAATCTTGCAAATGCATTTTTAAGATTTAACTAAATTCTGTTTGTTAGTATGACCACGTCCGAAGCTGTGGTGGCTCCGGAACATATCAGCCGGTTACTCGTCAGTCAAACTACTAAAATATTTCCAAAATCAACTTTATGTGTACGAGATAAAGGCCATGTGAAAGACATATTTATACCACAAATGTAGGTGCTTATAGGTACTAAAAATGATTAATGAGCGGCGACTGGACAGTTTTACAAGTTTTGTTTGTAAACAACTAAAAAAGTGTGTAATTGGTAAATATGAGGTGATAAGAGCATATTGTTTACCAACAGCTATTTACAGCTATCGAAGGTTTAGTGGATACCTACTTTAGTTTGTAAATAAGTCCATTATCTAACTGGTGAAATCTCTAAACCGGACAAAAACCAAAGCTGCAACTTGATATTCTCGGTATAAGTTCACAAAATTGGAATACGGAGTCTATATATCAGTTTATTAAAAATCTTCTATTCCAAACACAATAAATATTGTTTGATGAGACGGACTTGATTGAATAAAAGTAGGTGTAAACTAATTAAGGTTCTAACAACCAAGTTATTTGCTATGCAGCCAAGAAAATAAAGACTAATTCAGGTCAGAGATAAAACCTACACCTATTGTGAAAACAAAGGACATAATGTCACTTCGAAATTAGCACCAAAACGTCTCTAGGTCATTTATGTGTGCTCGATATAATATCTCCGTCGTGTCAATGTGTGTTTGTTTTTTTTATGGAATGAGCTGGTAAACTAGCAGACGAATCACTTTATCGTAAGCAATCGAGGGCGCCCATGGACATCTGAAACACCAGAGGCGTTACCAGTGCATTACTGGCCTTTTGGAAATTTGAGGTTTCAGGGATTGGAGACATGGCCTCCGACAACCTCACTCACACAACAAAACACAACGCAAGCGTTGTTTCACGCCGGTGTTCTGTGAGGCCGTGGTATCACTCCGGTCGAGCGGTCGTTGTTTCAAGAGACTGTGTCCGCCTTTTTTCAACGTCCTTGTGTCTAGGCTTTTAACTTAAAGTACCAAACCTAGATACCTAAGTACTCTAAGCTTTAACGAAACGAAAACTGTTTGAGACATAACACAGGAGGTTTTAACCTTTTCACTACTTTCACAGTTTTGTTATGAGCTCGAGATTCCGACAAGATTGCTTATGTGAGTCAAGGTGGAAATATAACTGCCATCTTGAGTTTGGGCTACGAAATCAGGTCATCAAAGATATGTAGTTTGTCATTGTGTTGAATCTTTATATCGCTTACTAAGGTAGCTGCAACTTAAGCCACAGATTCACTCTTGTTTTTCTTTAATATAAGTAGGTACATATCTTGTCCATAACTAAGTGATGAGTTATGCAATCTTATAACTCATTCACTTTCAGATATTAACAAATTCAGACCACTCACTTCGTTAGAATCGATTATTGAGGTCAAGGTTAAATATATAATTATACAATTGTTTTATTATTATACTGACTACATTCCCCCAAGCGATTAAGGAATAAAGCTAGCAAATGAAACCGGTAGGAAGATTTAATAAACATTAGAAAGATATCGTTCTGTAATTCATTAGGTAATCAAGCTAGACTGTCTGCGTATGCATTTATGAACTTTGTCATTTAAAAAATTACTTAATTTCTAAAAACTTTGGCACAATTTATAGCCACGCTGTTATCTGTAAAGGTTAGGCATTTCCAAACATCGAAATGGATGCGGTATTCTATTTCTATAATAAAATGGTAATTGCAGTCCCATTTAATTTAAAAGTAAAAATAATTTATCTTAATTAAAACTGCAGTAGCTGCTTATAATGTACCGTTACATTTAAACCATTAGTTCCGCATTTTGATATAGATGTCGGGAGGGA